TTCAATCCGCTACCGACGCCGCAGCTGACAAACATAGCATTTCATGATAGGGCTCAGTAAAGTATTTTGCGGGATTTTGACTAAGAGGAAATTGATCATGAAAATCTGTCATAGGCCATAAACCGTATACATATAAATTGAACACGCTAGCCAATCAAACGAAATGTTTCTTTTTCTTCAGCAGTGGTCAGTTAATGGTTCACTCTGTTTTGATTCAGTGGCCTTCTAACAAAAAAAAAAAAAAGTAAAAAACTCCACAATAAGCTTTATTATATTCCTTGAAATCATTTATGAACATTAATTACAAAATATTTCTGACGAGTAAATGAAGAAATATGCGTTGTGTACGGTCACCATCAACAAAATCACAGGGATAATATAGCACTATTTTCACATCTTTAAACTGATTTAACTCGATTTGGACTGTTTTTTTGATATAAGGCCCTATATATTTTTTTGTTTGTAATGTTATTCTGCATCAGTTTTCCCACATCCGATCAACTGCCGCGAAAAAATGAAAAGGCACCACGCTCCATACAAATTTGGTCATTGTCATTTAGGGGATGATTTTCAACAAGTTAATCATTGAACATCTGCGTAATTATAAGATAAACTGCACGAATATGAAAGCAAATAAGACTTATATTTTGTAAATGTCTCATTTTGGATCATGCAATAAGAATGGAATCAAACAACTTTTTCGTTAAAGTAAAACTTCTGTTTAAATATCTGTTCTATGAATTTATTTCCAGGCAGTTACCGTACGGGGTTTTAGTCTAGGGACAAACTTGAAATAGAGTTTCTATGAAACAAACGCAATTTATTGTGTTGCAAAGGAAATAGATGGTGAAAGAATTGTGGCCAGGAGCTACAAAGGAAACTCGGATGTAAAGATGTTTAATGGTTCTTACTGGATAATAAATATTATTTTTTTTATAAAAAAGATTTCTTTGTCTCTCTAACTCAATCACACGTGACGTTCCAATTCAAAAGAGCCAAATTAAGGAATAATTGCAATAAATGCTTTAACTGCGACTGACTTCAACTTTGAATTATTCGACATTATGATTAGGGTTTGTTCCTGAACGTTGGCAATAGTCCCGTCACATTTTTGGAACAAACAACACAAGTTTTGCAAAGTACTTCTGATACTATGCTGAATAGGTATTCAGAAAAACCACTATAAATACCATCTTAAGTTTTAACTAAAAATCGGGGTTACTCACGATGGCAGTAGGCTAGGCGACATCGCCGCGACCGCGCACGCTGCTAGGAAAAACCCCTCTGAGGTTCGAAACTAGTAGAGCTTTTCTCAGTATATTCACGTGAATAACCCGCGATTTTTAGTTAATTTAGTATGTCTCACGATAGTTATATTAAGTCTTATCGACATACACACATGGTACATTATCTTGTAAGTGTCATAAGTTTACTTACAGGACGTTGAATATAAATAATGTTAACAATCCAACCGTGCAAAAAGAAAATAGAAACCCGAACCAACACAGACTATAGAGACTGTTCGCGGCAGTTTTCCAAACAAACAAAGTATACAAAACATTATAAAATGTTCAATAAACCACGAAGGAAAGTTTGAGTTTCTTAAATTTACACAGCTTTTCTTATCCGAGTTGGGTTATTTGATTCGTTCGCGTCCCACTTTTCCAATATTCCGGCAAGCGAGAATTTTGAAGCTGTCCAATTTTCCAAGATATATCGAACGAATATAGTACTTACGTGTTTGCCATTTTGGCACACAGGCGAGCTGCATAAGCGTGAAAGTGGCACTACTTAAAAAATAAGATGAAAAGAAATTAACCTAAAAACATTTCCACTTTGTGTCTGAAGGTAATTTTGTGAAACTAGTAGCTTGTTCCATCGTGTAAATTTCTATGAAGAACGGGTATTTTCGCATATAACCTCTTACAAAAATACGTTCCTTCCTAAAAATATTATACTTTCTAGTACATAAATCGCTCAAGCGTTTCTTAAGCCCGTTTAAGCCCGTTCTTTGAAGGATTCTGTATCAAAGGCTATTGTGATGCACAATGAATACAGCGGTTTCTGCCCCATCACTTACATGCGCCCTGAACATTATTTCGCTTTGTGCTACAATATTACTAGCGAGAGATAAACACTGCGTTTCTTTTATTCAGACTAGTTGCAACATTATTCTATGTGTGTAGCAAAAGGGTTACTCTGAAAGAATATTTTCTTTTCGTAAGCTTGAAAGAGCTATCTAGATACTCTTGTAATCTACAAGCATACTGTAATTATGAGCTCTTGTTGTGGTTTAAAACTACCACAGTTGGTGCAGTGGCTGGGTAACGTGTCGCTGGTTCGCTTCCCGCACGGAACAACTCAACAATAGTTATTCCGCGTCTGGATGTAATGTGTATGTTTGTAAAACGCCCCTACGACACCGGAGAAGATCTGATATAGAAGTGATATAGAGTAAAGTTTAGTTTTGAATCGAAAATTCAAAATAAACTAATAGTAGTAGTACAGCACTTCTGTCAAATCAACTACTATGTAATTAAGCCAAAATCAGAAGAATGTTTCAGATTTTGGACCATATTGCCCTGATAACGTAAAACCCATGATTATTTATTAAAACCAACAATAATCACGATACCCAATAGTTTAAACTTCTGAACCCGATCCTAAAAACTATGGCTAAAAGGGGTGACTATCCGTATCGGCCTACAAGCAAAACCTTTTAAAGTCAAACTGTTAATCTGAGTTACTTGGACAGATCAGTAGTGTATGTTACGCTGATCCATTAATATCAATGTTAGAAGTGCTCATTGGAATTTATTGTTAGAAGAGGCTCTACTTGAGAGTGTTACCGGTGGTTGTGGATATAACTGCTGATCTTGAAGGTCTTATTTCGATTCAGTAAATAAAAACCATGACTTTTTTGTATTAGGTCTTCTGCGCTGTGATTATTTGATAACCGAAAGTCCATGTGCTAGTCTGCGAATCGAACCTAAAACCTTTTACACCACAATCACACTTTCGTCCATCTTACCGACAAAGCTATCTTTCACTCTCGCATAGTTTCTAACAACTTATGTTCCTATACATTTGTGTAAAACTACTCATGATAATCTATATATATAAAAGAAAGTCGTGTTAGTTACACTATTTATAACTCAAGAACGGCTACATCGATTTTGATGAAAATTGGTGGGGAGGTAGGTTAGAACCAGGAATCGGACATAGGATACTTTTTACCCAATACTTTTTTTAAAGTTTTTACCGAAAATCAAGAATGGCAACGGGAAATATCGGGATTACGCGTACGAAGTCGCGGGCAGAAGCTAGTACAGAATAAGAGTTACTGTACACGGTACACCCTGAATGAACAATGTTGGCTACACATCAGGGTTGCAGAACCAGTATAAACTGACCTTTAAATGAGCAGAAAGATAATATAAAACGAGACCACAATAAACTAGATTGTTATTGTAAAGATAATGATGTGCAGGGCTGGTGACTGCAAGGTCGTGACTTTAGGCATTATCGTGTTATAAATCATCATCCCACAAATAGAATGGAAGAAGTAAGAAAGAAAACAGTTTTTTTACTCCATGACACACACGCAGACAACAATACAAGTACACACAGAAGTTCATGGTGCGTCGCAGCGCAAAAGGCCGGAGCTCAGCTTAATGCTGCGGCCTGGGCACGAAATTTCAAGTCCACAGCGCTTATTTTCACCCTATTTTCATTTTCAAATACAGGGCAAACTCTATTCGGAAGGTTTATTAACACTTAGACTAATACATCTTGTGTCTATATGTATTAAACTACTCACAACTATATCAAACTATTGCTATTACACTCGAGAGATTACTTCAGTGGTTACACTGGCAATGAACAGTCGATTAGATTTCATCGGGGATTAGTAATCACGTACTGAGATTGGTGTAATGAAACATTATAATTTGATGATGGTTTGTAGTGTATTACCATCTATATACCTACTAATGTTAATAGTGAATAGCAATGACAGTAATTTGCAGGACTTAATCGTAGCCTCCTCCTCCTCCTCCTCCCGGAGGTTTAAGACGCCCGCTTCTCATGCATGAGGGTGCGGGTTCTAAACTTACCAACGGCAAGTACCAATGTGACTTTTTCCGAGTTATATGTACTTTTTAAGGTTATTTAGACACCACTGACAAACGGTGAAGGAAAAACATCGTGAGAAAACTTGGGACTTATAATTTCTAATTATAAGTTTGAAATCGCCAACCCGCATTGATCAAGCGTGGTAATTAATGCACTCCAACCTTCTCTGTGTGATAAGAGGCTTTGCTCAGCAGTGGGCATTTATAGGCTGTTGATGTAATCGTAGCCTAGATAGTCACTATCTAGCACGCACAAGTTAAACGCTGGATTAGTTCAAACAGATTGTTGAATTTTTAAGTCTACTTTATGCTTCTGCACAAAATATGTACTTGTACGGATTGAGATTATCGAAAAGCAACGAATTATAGATTATAAATCATTGTTATTGGTCATTGAGAAAATAAATATGATATTGTTTTCAATTTTCTGTGAGTTATGACCAATATTCTGATTCGTAGGAATTTCCCAGAGTACTATCAGTATTTGGCAATGGCAATGCGTTTAACCAATAGCACATTCGAATGGAGAGCGATTTTATCAATAATATCTCGTATTAATACTCTCAGCAATTTATTTTAGAATACCGGCAACTCGCCAATTATGGAATTAGGGTTAAATTTAATAGACAATGCCTATACGTTTGTCGGGCAAAGTTCCAACCCGGATAGTTACCCTGAAATTGAGTAACCTAAATTACCTACTATTTAGGAACGCCTTCCTGTAATGTACTCCCTGACCCTATTAAAGCCATGAAAAGTTACTTTGAAAGATGAAACATACGTATCGCAATTACTCGTGTCAATATGATCCAGAATTTGTTGAAATAAAATGTAACAACAAAATATTTGTATGTACAAAGCACTCACCTAGAATTTGATCTCTTAGACGAGTCGTGTTTCTTCCCTCCTTGCAGATTTGGCAGATCCTTCTGCCGTTTCTTGGTTTCCCTCCATATTCTGTAGTACAGTATACACATGACAGTCACTGGCACATAAAACGCCGCTATAGCTGTCCCGAACGTAATGAACTGGTTCGTCTCTATGAACTGAATATAGCACTCATGAGGGGGCACTTTCCGCTCGCCGTCGATGTACGGCCACGCGTAAATCCACGGCGGCCACAACAATAAACTGAATCCCCACGCACCTCCTATCATCATCGTCGCTCTTCGTGTAGTCCTTTTAGCCCTATACGTCAACGGTCTCGTCACACTGAAGTACCTATCGAAACTTATGATGAGCAAGTTGAGCACAGACGCGTTGGACGCGAGGTAGTCCAGGGCCAGCCACGTGTCGCACACGTGTGGGCCCAGCGGCCAATAACCGTAGATGGTGAACATGGTGTACAGCGGCATCGATATCAGACCCACGGCAAAGTCCGCCACAGCCAGGGAGAACAAGAAGTAGTTGCTTATAGTCTGCAGCTGTTTGTCGATCTTGAAGCTGATCATCACCATGGAATTGCCGACGACGGTGAGCACCGATAGGACGCTGGCTATGATGGCGATGATGATCTTCTGCGCGAGACTGTAGGGGCTGGTGGGGAGGTCGGTGCCGAGCGCCAAGTCAGTGAGGTTGGCCGAGTCATTGAACGCGATGAGCATGCTGTCAACTGGGCGAACCGCCGCCCGCGGGGACACCCGCGCCCCGCCTCGAGCGCCGACCGAGCGCGCTCTCGCCTGCACACACAGACACAAACAATTACACGCCGTGCATTATATGAAACATCACAATACCTCCTACAAGGTAAGTACAGGGGATTCAATACAAGGCCACGCACACAGGGGGACATAATGGATGGTAAATTGCTGAAGCATACAATTGCAGCGCGGGGCTTGGGTTATAAATCCTACATCGTTACGCTTATTTAAGTAATTCCCCCAGTAGACGTTTGTACATAAAATATGTGCTGTTATCATAATGGCAATCTGAATATAAACGGCCTGTCATTATGGAATGAACATCACAAACAATCTACATTCATACCAAATGATGCGTTTGTTCTACTCTAAGTGTGTACATACATTGTTTGTATAAATTTCAGATAGTATCTGTGGCTGCGCTGGTACGCAACTTTGACCGTTCCTAGATAATGGTTTTCCCATGTACGAAATGCGTTTTGATATGTATGCATAGAATGATTACTTTTGCGAGGTTTTAGGTGGGCAGATCCATCATGTTTTGACAGGGCGCGCAATATGATACCGCTGACCCAGTTCACCGTACAGTTTTACTCGCTATCACTCGAGATGTGAATAATATTCTAGTGTAGACAGCAAGCATAAAAGAAAACTAAACGCTTTGGGAGTTTGGATAAAAGATTTATTTATTCCATTTATTCGGACAGGCAGAGGAAACTAATAATAAAAAACTTCACACTAGTGTTTGTGCAGAAAGTATTGTTGTAGAAAAAGCTGTTTATTCACATTTTCACATAACATCACGCCTTTTATCCCGAAGGGGTAGGCAGAGGTGCACATTATGCCACTGTACAATGTAACACCCACTTTTCGCTATTTATGTTACGAGTCCCATGTAATAGGGGGTGAGCCTATTGCCATATACCGGACACCATTCCAGACTCCGTGCTACTACTGAGTTTTTTTTTTAAACCCAGTAATATTTTGCCCGACCCGGGACTCGAACCCGAGACCCCTTGCTCGGCAGTCGCACTTGCGACCACTCGGCCAACGAGGCAGTCAGCTGTTTATTCACATTTTCATTATGTTCATATTGTAGTAGAAAATACTAATATTGAAACTAAATTTTAACATAAAATATGGCTTAATTCGTAGATCTTATCCAATCAAATGGGAGACAAGAGTGAAAGTACTAATGTATCACAAGCTATTTCTATTTACCATTGCACCAAAAACAACAAAAAGCATTTTGGGTAAAACCAAAAAAAAAAACCAATCGCGACAAACTAAAAACTTGCAGACAATACACGCGACAACGTTTTGAAAAACATTTGCGAGCGATAAACAAGCCGGTAAACTAGTTCAATAGTTCAAACAAGCGCTGGAGAACTTTTCATTTGTTTGGGACGATTTTGTATGGGGGCGAAACCGGGTAAATAAACCTAACAATATATTAACTAGCTAAACAAAGGCTGGTACACAAAGGAGTTAGATGTAAAGCCAGTTGCTACAAAGTTGTACAGGATTCGTAAGTGCATTATGTAATTAGTTTTGTGCAAACTTGTATTAATTTTCACTGCGCTTGTGTATAAACTCATGTTTAATTTTTTGCTGTGTGGACTTATTGTAGATTCCTTTCAATTAGGTGCAATGAACTATTATCATTCGTTCATAGCATTGTTCTGATGTCAAGAGCTCCTCTTACAGTACAAATAAATAACAACTTAATACTCTTGCACAACCCTCAAAGAAATATCATATGGAAAATCTATATAAACAAAAATGAATTTGAAACGTCTGAACCGATTTGGCTAATTGTGGACCTTAAAATGTTCGTGGAAATCCAGGGAAGGATTAAGAGGGCAGAAAAATAATTTTAGACGGTACTAAGTTTACCGGGTCAACGTGTTTAAAATAAAAATCACGTATAGTCATTTTCCACACACAATATTCCCAAAATTGTGTTGTTTTTCTCAAGTATAGTATTAACAAGTTAGGAAGGTAAACAAAGCAATACATTTAAAAAGTTAAAGTTTTCCGGAGGTAGTTAGAGTTTGTAAGAAAAGCGCAGCCGTAAGCGCCCTACATCGTTCGCGGCAATAATCCGTAACTAGTTCACACCGGCACGTGCCGGATCAAACTGGTTTTAATCAGTTCATATGGAACTTGAGGGAGTTTTTCCGTATGTGACTACGTGTTATGCTTTTTGCGGTTTTTTGCCGATGTGTGTTAGAATAGAGATGATTTGATGAATGTCGACAAAAAATCGTTTCTTATTTTATACAATGGGAAGATTTCAAAATAATGAGTTGAATGACTTTTGTACTAAGACACAAACACAACTACAAATTTGATAGAAATAATGCATTCACAAATGTTTTGATGTTATTGATACAAAACGTCGAAGTCTTCTGGAATCACTCCCGGTACGTAGCGATAAACCGTGCGTATTAAAAGAAGACTTATAATATATGCGAAAGCTGGATAGTGGGAGAAAAACAAGTATGACGTCATAGTTATATAACATGTTAACTTGTACCTTTGTCATTCCAGTGGTATGCATACTGTCTTAGAAAGAGGGGTATGATATCGTTTTACCTACCTTTAAAATAAACCCATTTCTCACATCAATGAATTTTGTTGACCAGGAACGGATGTATTTATGGGAGAGTAAGGATATGGGTAGCTAATGCCAATAAACGATAATATTTCTTGCCTATTTTATTTTTTCAAAAAGTTATAAACAAATGTCAGCTTAAAGCCTATATTATTATTTGAACTATATTATTAATGGAAAAATTACTATAGAATTTGAACAATAACTTGTGACTTCAATAGGTACATATGTACGTGAGTACGTGCTTAATGCCTTATCCTTTTCATTAATATAATTTCTTGTATGATTCATCTAGTCAGTATGAATAAAAAAATCAATGATTTGAGATGAAACGATAAAGTACCTACACCCAAGTTGAAATAGCTGGCATTTTACAGTGAGACAGAATTAAACGTTACCTATGTACCTCATGCTTGTAATGTGTTGTTCTTTGTAATATTGTCTGTGTGGTGTGGGTACATGAAAATAAATAAATAAATAAAATATCTAATATCCATAAAGCCAATATTTGTCTAAGACTAAAAGTTGGTATATACCTAAATGATAACTTTTATCTTAAATAAACAGTGTAACATGGACCGAAAACTAAAACAAATATCAATTTGTAGGCAACACAAGTATACCATCAAAAACTTATTTGCTTGTCTATCGAAGCATATCACATTTGAATGAAACACTACAGAAATTACTGTTTACCGAAATTCCCCGATCATTTCCGAAAATAGCCGAATGGACTCAACATGGCGGAATGTTGACAAAATTTTTGCAAGTATTTGAACCTTATCCGCGGGGTCTTATTTATGGGTAGTGGTGCGTTCATGGGCAGTACCCCCATTATACATGGTGCCCGTCGCTCTACCGATCAAAGGCACTTTTCGGCCATTGTTTTTTACGTAAATAGAATGTTCAAAATAAATTATGAGTTTGATATTGAGTATTTTACGAAGTATATTTTATGCTGTCGGATATTAAATATAAAAGTTATAAGTGTAAGGATTCCTTTTTTGAGAGGAATAGGGTATAGATTTAAGTGTGGGAGAGCCATGAATGGGCCGGCTCGACCGGAGTGATACCACGGCCTCACAGAAAACCGACGTGAAGCAACACTTGCGTTGTGTTTCGTCGTGTGAGTGAGGTTACCGTAGGCCCAATTACCTTCCCCTTCCCCAATCTCCCCAATCCCTGAATCCCCAACGATCCTCAAACTCCTAATCCCCAAAAAGCCGGTAACGCACTTGTAACGCCTCTGGTGTTCCAGGTGTCCATGGGCGACGCCGATTGCTCACCATCAGGTGATCCGTCTGCTCGTTTACCGGCTTATGCCACAAAAAAAAAATTGAGTAACTTCTTTAAATTTTGCACTTCGTGGAGTCACAACAATGAACACTTCATCTGTTTAATCTATAAATCAAACATAGATGCACATTCTCAACAATCGTTTAAACATTAATTCTACATTAAACCATAGCGATAAACAAATATAGTATTCAAAGTTTTAAAATCAAATAAAAGCAATACCAGCGTATGACAGCAACTCCAAAACACCATTACGCTTCGATGGAATTTCCAGGAATCGTGTAAGGTATTAAAAGCGATTGTTATGGAAATCTGTAAAACAAATGGCAAACTTTTGCCCGGCACACAAATTCCGTGGAAATTACCAAATGTGTATAATTAATTAATGTATTTCAAACGAAGTTGGTGCCAACGCTGAGCGCATTACAATTTTGCTTTGGTCCAAGTTAGCGTCTCTAGTTCCGTGAATATAAGTTGGACAAAGTACTTATGATTAAATGCTTAGGGTGTATAAAAACTAAACAACTTCATATTGGTGGATTTCATGATATTTTGACTTGATCTTGGCACATCGGTGGATGAAGAATCAGAATTATCTCAAAATTCTCAGCAAGTGCGACTGCCGGGCAAGGGATCTTGGGTTCGCTTCCCGGATCAAGCAAAGTATTACTAGGTTTTATAACCCCTAATTACGTGGGACTCATAACACAAATAGTGAAAAGTGTATATTGCTTTGGGTGGAGGTGAGATTTTCGATACCCACATTTCACCAATCATAATTATAAAGAAGCCCATGTAACATAAAGTAAGTCCACTGATCCTACGATCAGTGGACTTCATAACTGACACTGAAAGTGCTAAAAATGAATTTTTACAAAAAACCTTAGGTGTCTGCCACTGGGGGACTTTCCCCCTAAAAATTGAATCGCTCGCGTTATTAGTTATCGAAATAATACAAGAGTCCGGCGTTAGGTGCCGTCCAGCGTTAAGGGAGTTCCCCCAACAGGTATAATTCTAATACTGCGTTTTTTTTTTTATTTCCTGTTATAAATGTCATGGACCTCCGCTATTTCTCATGCACTACGCTTCAACCAATCTTGGCCGTTAGCAACAGTTTGCAATTCAAACGTTCCTTGAATATTCACCCCGCACCAAATACCTCTACTGTTATTAAATACCTCGCTCCTGAATCTAGACTGATAGACATGGATTCATATCAGTAGCTATATAGATTGCGTCCTATTCTAACTAGAGATCAATTATAATAAATTAGCTATTGAAATTTTAAAATATGCTAAATATTCTAAATAAGTCAAGAAACATCTCGTTCTATATACCTATTGGAAATTACCTACTCTAGTATCACTTTTAAAAGAAGTCATACCGAGGCAATAAAGAAGAAAATAATGTCATAAAAGAGAAAACCAAACAACGTCCACCATTAATAACAAAAGAAATTATAATTGCGACCTATCGGAAAGCACGTCACGTAGGTCTGTCCATCATTAATACCGGCACGCAATTAAACAAAACATCGGAAGAATATTCCGCGCTCCATATTCAAACAATCGCGTCTGATTGACGGGCGCACGTGACACGAAAGCGCAGCGCCAGAGACACCATCCGACGTATTCGAATATGGAATTATTTGTACCTACGTCATTTTAAATGTCGAATGGGCTTCTTGGCATAATATTTTTGGAGAAAAAATAAAATTTTAAAAGCATACAATACAATTACAGCATGACACATTGTCAACAGTGCGTTAAGATCGACTGCTTGCCTATTACATTAGGATACTTGCCATAATATTCTTAGCAGAATTTTCGTGTAGGTATCCATAAAGGTATCTAATGTATTTCTATTTAAACTATTGGACAAGATTTATCAGACTACACAAGCACCAATATAAATCTAACATCTTTTTTTTAACCTCCTACTACTCACTCATAGCACCTCAAGCAATCACAATAGAAACTACCTCTATATTGTTGAGCTCGTAAACTACGTATCAGTGCATATTTAGGGGTGGCAAGCGGTTCATAAATTTTGTATTGCGCTGCTGTACTACCAGGGCTGACCTAAATAACAATATATGGCCGGCATCGTTAGTCCGAGTCCGAGGGAACATAGTTAACATGAATGTGCAAACCTTGATTTGTAACAGCTTTACTAAGAATTATACAGATTACGTTCCAATTTTGAGTTCTTCGTTTGGAAGTATTAGACAGGTAAATTATTAAAATGAATGGGTTAATTCGTCTAGAAATACAACAAATATATAAGCTATAGCTTATTTTTATATAGGTACTTAAATATCGTGCCATCTCCGTCATTTTACAAAGAATTTATAATGACAAAACTATACTTAAGTGCGACTTAAAATTGACTGCCTCGTTGGCCGAGTGGTCGCAAGTACGACTGCCGGACAAGGGGTCTCGGGTTCGATTCCCGGGTCGGGCAAAGTAATACTGGGTTTTTCAAAAAATTCACAGTAGTAGCACGGAGTCTGAAATTATGCACGGTATATGGCAATAGGCTCATCCCCTATTACATGGGACTCATAACATAAATAGTGAAAAGTAGATGTTACATTGTACAGTGACATAACACCTCTGCCTACCCCTTCGGGGACAAAAGGCGTAATGTAATGTTATGTTAAAATTGAGTGACGTTTATGTATTTGTACCTTAATGAGGAGCCATTTCAATCATTTGGTCAGTAAAATAAAAATATTATATATATGTTACAGATAAACTAATCTGCTCATTCGATAACATGTGCACGAAAGCTGCACAATTATAATCACTTAATATACTAATATGTTAGTATACTTGCCTCACAATGTGATTCATCGAATCTTAAATATACATTGCACAGTTAGATTGTTTAGAAAAACTCGACAGCTACTAATAGCGGGAGCACTCCTATAAAATAGGCTACAGAAATAGGTTGACAATTTTGGCTCGGTATTTTATACTTATGCACAAATTAATAATTCCTTTCTAAAAACCTTTATTTATGAGTGTAAATGAGTCTTAAAATTATTAAAACCTAACAGGAGAATTTATCAAAAGCCCTCTCAGAGTCTGGAAACAAAATTCCTTCAAACTTGTTTTAGTAGCCATTACTTTTAGTCGTATTTGGTCCGAAGATACTCAATTAGTATAAAACTGGTTTTGTATTTAAACAAATTAAACGAATAAACGTGAAATTATCAATATTATCTTGAATTTATCTCGATTACCATAACATTGCCTAACGTGAAATAAGCATCGTTAACAAGATAAGATTACCTAAAATAAAACGTAAATCTGTAACAAAATTCACGGTCAACGTCGATAAAAAACGAAACAAAAACGAGTAAAAATTTACCACGATTTTATGAAATTGCGATCTTATAACTATAGCAGTAAGATCTGTTATCAAATAGAAAATAATATTGAATGAATGATTTACTTGCTTTGCACTGAATACGCGACAATGCCAGTTTTATTTAGAGCCCTGACCGTTGCGGACGGTGTCCTGAGAGCACAGTGCCGGCCTAAGTATGGTGCAAGTGAGAGTGAATGAAGGTCTGCTGGAGGGAGAGCGAGTGGACAACCACTACGGGGGCTCCTTCTACAGCTTCAAGGGAATACCGTACGCACAACCACCACTCGGAGATCTTCGGTTCAAGGTATATATGTGTTCGACATAACAAACATATCATCGCGAATATTAATCTCCAATCCAAAGGTTTTTTTACAGATAACCTTGACTGACATAGTATAGCAACAATTAAAAGCATGATATTTGTATTTAAACTGTCAAATACCAAGCGGTCACCGGTGACCGCAGCCTATTGTTCTATAATTGTGTCTGCAAAACCGGTACTCGACGAGTTAATCATTTACATACATACATACATACATATACATTCAGTTCAAACTGAGAATCTCCTTCTTCTTTTGAAGTCGGTTAAAAAAATTATCCAAATTTTTATTGGTAGTCGAATTATTTCGTTTATTTTAATGTCGTGTTTGTTATTATCAAGACAATCGTCTTATTTATCGTAATTTAGCAATCAAAGTTGTGACGGAACGCTAACAAAACAAATGACATGATTATAGCGTCAGTCAAATAATAATACTAAAGAACAATATGCCACTTAGCTACGCCGTAAAGTTCAAGGTTAGTCAAAAATTACATAAAAATAATTATGTAAATGAATGATACATAAGATTGGTTACATCAAATTTTAAAAATAGGTTTGACAAGAGCACAAAATTATCATGCATGAATAGTCACTGGACTATTCATGGCGGTTTTATATGCAATTCCAACCTTCGTATAACTACTAAAACCTATTTAGTTTCTTTTACTTGTTCACAGGCTCCTCAACCACCTCTACCATGGGAAGGTATCCGGAGTGCGAAGGAGTTTGGATCAATATGCTACCAGAAAGATTTCGAATCGCAAACCAAGACAACAGGAAGCGAAGACTGTTTGTTCCTCAACGTTTATACTCCAGAATTGAAACCCCAAAATCCTTTACCCGTAATGTTCTTCATCCATGGCGGAGGATTCTACTCTGGCAGTGGCAACGACGACATGTACGGTCCAGAGTTCCTCGTCCGGCAAGGAGTCATCCTAGTCACGATCAACTACAGACTTGAAGTACTGGGTTTTCTTTGTCTAGACACTGAAGAAGTACCGGGCAATGCAGGAATGAAAGATCAAGTTGCAGCTTTACAATGGGTTAATAAAAATATTTCAAACTTCGGTGGTGATCCCAACAATATTACGATCTTTGGTGAGAGTGCTGGCGGTGCAAGCGTCGGCTACCATTTAGTTTCGCCCTTGACCAAAGGTCTTTTTCAAAGAGCGATTTGTCAGAGTGGAATCACAACTTGCTGGTGGGCTAAAGTTTTTGAACCTCGATTGAGAGCACTAGCATTAGCAAGACAATTAGGATATAATGCGGAGAAAGATGGTGAAGACCTTTATGAATTTTTCAAATCTCAACCAGTTGAGAAACTCGCTGGAGTAAAAGTACCATTATCTTACTCAGAACAACATCGAGCTAGCTTCGAATTATATTTTGGCATTGTAAGCGAAAAACAATTTGGCAACAATAAATATTTCTTTCATGGTAATATATTTGACTATTTGAAGAATGGAATCCATGAAGGTGTGCAAGTTATTACTGGCTATACTGCAGATGACGGTGTCCTACTACATGTGTTTGACAAAGATGGAAAAATGTTAGAACAGGCCAATGAATTAGATACCTTTTTCACTCCCAGACATATTGCATTGAATTGTTCTCTAAAAGAACAAATTGAGGCCGGACATAAGATCAAACAATTTTACATGTGTAACGAAGATATAGACACAGACTGTGAAAGACTGAGTCGCTTTCAAACTACAGAAATGTTTTTATATGGAATCATAAAATGGATGAAAATTTGCTCACAAAGAAATAAGACTTATCTTTATAAATTCACGTGTAAGAGTGAAAGAAACGCTGCAGTCCGCTTGATGGGACTGGAAGCTGTGACACAAGGTAAAGAAGTAGCTTGTCACATGGATGACTTGTTTTATATTTTCAACAGCAAGGTATTAGATGCAAAAGTCGATATGGATTCGAAAACATTCCAAATGATTGACAATGTGACAAAATTATGGACCAATTTTGCTAAATATGGGTAAGTAATATAAGCTCAAATATAAACGGATTATTCTTATTTTTAACAAACCATTAACATTACATACATTTACTTACAGAGATCCGACTCCCGATAACAGTCTTGGTGTTAAATGGAACCCTTACACATTGGACAAAGAAGAATATTTGGACATCGGCAATGACCTCCAAACTGGATCTGCGCCGGATCGCGACGAGTTTTTATTTTGGGAGAGTATCTTTAAAGAATTTACTCCTGAATATGTCGATAAAGTTCATTAACATTGATGTTCATTATAACATTATACTCATTTAATTTTATAGCGCCTTTTATTTTTAAAGCGAAAGAGTAGAATATACATCCGCCCATTGAGATACAAAGATTATTTCCAATTCCCATTATTCACCACTATCTATCTATGTAGAAGAGCAGAGTGCATTTAGCATTAGTCTTTTTTAATAATAGGTAACTGTTTGTTTAACTGAGTCTCAGGAACGATTCCCGGACCACAGAAAAGTGTACTCCCCTAAACTTGTTTTTTTATACCACGACGGTACAAAAAAGCATACGGCCCACCTGATGGTAAGCGGTTACCGTGAAACTGGGAATAAACACTTTGTGCTTACGACGATAAGGTCTATATCAGCTTGTTTGTTAAATAAAAATTTTATTGCACACTGCTTTCTTTACAATTTATTCTAGATGAGTGGACCGTATGAACATAATTTGAATGCGTGTGAAGTATAAATGTGTGCGTGGAAGGTTGCTACTAACGTGATGTGAACTTAATCTATTTAGACCCTTTGGAATGAGCAAAACTATAGGACAAACATAGAGAGACACACAATTGACATAAAATAATTAATGTAAAAACCATATACTAATTTAATCCATGTATATCGTAAAACTGTTCTGTATAAAGGTGAGGTATCGAGACTAAGCCGAATGACACAACTGTGCTCATTCCGTGACCTCGTGGCACGGGGTGACCTAATTCCTGCCAGGGTTCCACATTCCAACGGTATCGACAGCTTAATACTTATCCAGTTATACTTTTATTATGTAAATCTATTACGAAGTGCATAATAATAACATTACATCACGAATTTAATTTCTCTAAAGGTTTTTTTATGGAATAGGAGGCAAATGAGCAGACGGAACTTCTGAGGGTAAGCGATCAGCACCGCTAAGGACACCCGGACATCAGGTCCACATAATTCAGTGAAACGATCTGTTTTTGCCAGTAATCTGGGTTGTTGTACGGCGATAGAGATTTAGGAGAAGCATTTGTTAAGCAGTTGACTAAAGTCTACCAGCTGATGATAGTAATGATGGGGATATGTCTGATTTCATAAATTAGGAGTAAGTGTGAGAGAGGCATGTTTCGCCACGAACGGGCCGGTGTGAAACCACGGCTTCACAGAAAACCGACGTGAAACAACGCTTGCGTTGGGTTGCGTCGTGTGAGTGAGGTTACCGGAATCCTCCACAATCCTCAAAGTCCCAAATCCCCAAAGGCCGGTAACGCACTTGTAACGCCCCTGGTGTTTCGGATGTACACGGGCGGTTCCGATTGCTTACCATCAGGTGATCCGTCCGCTCGATTACCGGCTTTTCTCATAAAAAAATAGATTATAGAGATTAAGTTTATTTTCACACTTATGTTATAAATGCAGTCTATTGGGAATTATCGTGAATATTTCTTGCTTTGACTGGATGACGCCTTGATAGTCAACCTATATATCCAAATAAATGTAATCTGTCTACAGAAAAGCGCCATATCATCAAAACACAGATGTCAAAATGTCATCTATACTCAAATGACAATTAACTCGTCGAGTACCGGTTTTGTAGACACAATTATAGAACAATAGGTTGCGGTCACCGGTGACCGCTTGGTATTTGACAGTTTAAAATAAGAATAAACCAAAATGATTTCAAGTACCTGTAGAACCACTGTGTAAATAATTTAACACATTAACTCGTCGAGTACCGGTTTTGTAGACACAATTATAGAACAATAGGTTGCGGTCACCGGTGACCGCTTGGTATTTGACAGTTTAAAATAAGATTTGATTAATCATGCAAGGAAATGACCGAACATATTAATTATAGTTAAAAAGAATTCCCCAAACGTTCCTCTCTCAATCGAAATTCTTAGACATAACAGTTATCACTTCATTCGCATTTTTATCATAACTAATTTTTAGTTTGAATTCCCATGGCCTTCGTCGCATCGGGTCAATAAACTTTCTTCGTTGCATCTTATCGCGGTTCCGAATTACGCAAAAGTATCCATTACAAAACATAAAACGTAACGTGGAAGCATAAAATTATCAACATCACCGTAATTTTATTTTAGTCATCGAGTTACAGAAAAAACAAAAATAAATCGGTTGTTTTTGATTCCGTAACATTGAAAAATCAACGTTCATACTTCGAGATAAGATAACAAATAAAATAAATCCCAATATTGTATCACAAATACATCGTCATTGTCAATAAACAACGCGTGTGATCTCTATCCAAACAACTACTACAAAAACCGGCATAACTAATGGCTCGGTAACGATCAGATATAACTAATTTTTAATCTTATTACTATCGCAGGAAGTTACATTATCAAATAGAAGATAACACTGAATGGTTTGGTTGTTTTGCACCAATTGGCGGGAGAGCCAGTTTTATTTCAATCCCAGACCGTTGCGGACGCTGTCCTAAGAGCACAGTGCCGGCCTGAGGATGGTGCAAGTGAGAGTGAACGAGGGTCTGCTGGAGGGAGAGCGAGTGGACAACCACTACGGTGGCTCCTTCTACAGCTTCAAGGGAATACCATATGCGCAGCCACCTGTCGGGGATCTGCGGTTCAAGGTATACATATAATTTATTACTATCAGTCAAATAAATTATTTTTTTAATACAATTGTTCTGTAAAAGTTGTGAACAATTAGATATTATATCAATAAATTGACATACAAAATAAAAAAAAAAACTTTTTAGGTCATGGTCATTAAAATAATAAATGAATGTAAAATATAATTTAACCATAATGCAAAATTAAAATGCGTCTTATTGCGTTCACACATCGTTTCAATAGTTATTATATTATTAATTTAGTAACCTACCGAAGAGACGTAAGAAAAATCTTTTAATTCATAATTATGATACCTAATACATTAACTTCATTCTCTTTGATCACATATATCACAACTATTAAGTGAATGCAATTAGGTAAGTGATTAAACATAATTTTCCTTCCTTATAGGCGCCGCTGCCTCCAAAGTCATGGGATGGAGTTCGTTCCGCCAAAGAATTTGGCCCAAAATCCTTTCAAAATGACATATTAATGAAAACTGGACTAGTTGGCGATGAAGACTGCCTGTACCTAAACGTGTACACACCTGAAGTCAAACCTGACAAGCCTTTACCAGTAATGTTCTGGATACATGGAGGAGGCTTCTATTGTGGCAGTGGTAACGATGACCTCTATGGTCCAGAATTCCTAATTAGGCACGATGTCATCCTTGTCACTATCAACTACAGAGTGGATGTACTCGGCTTTCTTTGTTTAGATACAGAGGACATTCCTGGCAACGCAGGTATGAAAGATCAGGTACAAGCTCTTAGATGGGTGAACAAAAATATTGCTAGCTTCGGTGGTGACCCTAAAAACATAACCATATTTGGCGAAAGTGCCGGTGGGAGTAGTGTTAGTTATCACTTAATATCTCCAATGTCAAAGGGCTTGTTTAAAAGAGCCATTGCTCAGAGTGGAGTCTCCACTTGCGCCTGGGCCCAAGCTATTGAGCCTCGCGAAAGAGCTTTAGCATTAGCTGGAAGCCTGGGATTTTATTCAGAAGATGATAAGGAACTGTATGAATTTTTCAAGAATCAACCGAAGGAATCACTAGTCGGTGTTCAGTGTCCAGTAGCAACTTTCGAGGCGTTCAAGGGAGGACTAGACATATATTTTAATGTTGCCAACGAAAAGAAATTTGGAGATAATGAGAGATTCTTTTATGGAGACATGCTTGATGTTATATCAAATAGTATTCATGAAGGAGTCGAGATCATGATGGGGTCGACAACAGAGGAAGGTCTTATATCCTATGCAGACTCAGAGGACATTATGAAGACTTTAAAATTGGCAAAAGTATACCCAGAATACTTCGTTAATAAATTAGTAGCATTTTCTTTACCCTTGAAGCAACAACTTAAAATTGGAAAAGAAGTTAGAAAGTTTTACTTCAATGACCAAATCAACGTGCCAGATGATTGGGACAAATTGATTAATTTTACTTCGATGCAGAATTTCGTGTATCCTGAAAGGCAGTGGGCAAAGCACTGCGCTCAAGCGAAGAAACACAAGCTGTTCTTGTATAAGTTTTCTTGTAAAACCGAAAGAAATTTCATAGCAAAAATGAGAGGTATGACAGAAATGTTGGGAAATAGAGAAGTTACGTGTCACGCTGATGAACTTCCGTATCTTTTTAACTTTAAAATGATGCCAACAAAACTAGACACAACTTCTGAGACTTTCCAGCTGATGGAAAGACTGATGAAGCTATGGACTAACTTCGCTAAATACGGGTAAGTGGCTATATAAGTGTTAAGTATAATAAATATTTTGTCTATAAAAGTTACATCACATGACATTTCATAACCTTACGCCTGTCTCCCATAAGGGCAGGCAGAAGCTATGGAACCCCAATTGTTAAGATTCTTACATACCTCTTTCGCTTTTATGCATGCTCGTCGGTTAAGTATAATAAAGTATTTAATCAAGGTTCGTGGCATCAGAACTTGCCATTGCTCTTCAAATTAGAAACAGCTGATTTACACATACTTATATCATAATTTATTATTCGATTCTCACATTGCACCATTAGGACAAGGAGACAATCTATGATCCAATGACATCATACTTCATATTATATGACCATATTTCTCTTTACCTGTCTTTCTACAATTAAAAGCAAAATAATGTTATTCTTTATCTTTTATGTTTCGACATCACTTGATGGAAGTGCTGTATAAACACGATGTATCTAATGTAATCATGCGATATCGTACATTGACAACTCTTTAACTGGTAGAGTTTACTTAATTGCGACAACTTATAAGAGGTGAGACGACAACCAAGTAAAAGATCAGGACATATCCTAAAACGACAACCTAACAACTGAACAATCACCAAACCATCTACGACAAATCGCCTCCAAATAGGGAGGTTCAACAAATATTGATTACAACAAAAACAAAACTATAGATTTAGAAATGAATAAAAATGTACACCATCTAGTAGAAGATTACACCTTCTCTTCCTCTACTACGGGAAATTAAACAATGTACATAAATGTGTGTTAATAATATAAGTTCACATCATCTTTTTAGCTCACCTCACTCATTTAACAGGTTCATAATGAATTATTATATCGTGTAATCTATAATAATATTATAAAAAGCAGAGATTTGTACCTATTTTTGTATGTTTGTATGTTTGTAATGAATAGGCTCAAAAAGTAATGGGCCGATTTAAAAAAATCTTTCACCAATAGTATGCTACATTCTTCCAATTTGACATGCTACATTTCATTTTGAAAAAAATTAGGGATTCTTGGTAAAATTTGAACAATGTAACCGAAGGTGTAGAAAAACGAGTCTTAAAATGTATTTCGTCGAATGCGCTGCCGAAACTATTAGCGATTGAACAAAATAATGTACAGCAATATTGAAGAACATCATAATGTCTACAAAAAACTCCGCGGTAGCATATGTCCAACTATTGTAGTTATGTCACTATAACAATCCAAATCAAAAATAAATGTCTATGATAAAAGTATGCATGTTGTCACTGTGTAATGACTATCTCTTTCACAGAAACCCAACGCCGGACGACTCCCTAGGCGCTAAGTGGGCACCGTACACCCTGGAAAACCAAGAATATCTGGACATTGGAAACGAACTGAAAGCGGGCACCGCGCCTGATGCTGAGGAAACACAATTCTGGGACAAATTGTATGAAAAATATGGTTTGTGATTTGAACCTGTAACTAATAAAAGTATTCCGTGAACTGTGTTTTTTTTCTTTTTTTTTTCTATTTTAGTATGTTCTGTTATTTGTATGTTGCTTCAGGTATGTCTTTACATTATTCTCACATGTGTGTACAATATTGGAATATGTATCAGAGCAATGTAAAACAGACTTTTTTTAAAAGAGTAACGAATGGAGTTTCTTGCTCGTTCTTCTCCACTCGAATCGACATTTTGGAACGAGCGCCTAGCTTCACTGACGGACAGACTGACAGACTATTATATATCTCATATTTGTTGACGTTTCAAAAGTACCAAATTATGGTTTAATTGAAATAAATGCTTTTGAGTTTGAGTTTGAGTTTGTATATTATTTTTATTACATGGAAATGTGTAACTAATTTTGCAATAAACATAACCATCATAGTATCATTTCTCCGACTTTTACTTATTCTTCGATACCGAATCATAGTCAGAACTTAGATATAAAAATTCCAACAGTTTGTGTTAGCACGAAAGTCGCAAATAATCAAGAAAATAGGATCCTACATTTAATTAGTGCACCTTTATCAATCCCTTCAGGAAATTAAAGGGACTAAATATATTACCAGGATGTAAAAAAATATTGTTTGTAGCAACAGTATTGATTTTTATCTATATCTAAACATAGATAAATATTATAATTATCAGTATGTAAATTTAAAACTGTTAAGTCAGCATGATGCAGACATATAATTGTTATTTACTTGTGATCACAGATTTTGTGAACCAAATATTAAATACAATTCTTAATTTATTGCAAATTGTATTTAACTACAAAATAGTATATGACCAAAACTGTTGCGTCAAAGTATAGCATAAAAACATTTGTATTAAAGAAATATAATGATAATAAGTACAATAAAATCTGAATAATTTAAACCAAAGAAAAATCAACGTTATTACTGTGTGTGAAAAGAGTATTTTTCAAATAAATCAACGTACAATTCTTTAAAAAACTACACAATTTTTATCCAAATAATAATTACCAGCAAAAATAAACGAGTGGTTTGGTAACAATCAGATACAATGAATTATTAATCTTATTACTATCGCACTAAGCTTGCTTATCTAATGAAAGATAACAGTAAATATATTATTTAGTTGTTTTGCACCAAATATTTGACAGTGTCAGTTTTATTGAGTGCTCAGACCGTTGCGGGCGGTATTCCGCGAGTATAGTGCCGGCCTGAGGATGGTGCAAGTGAGAGTGAACGAAGGTCTACTGGAGGGAGAGCGAGTGGACAACTATTACGGAGGCTCTTTCTACAGCTTCAAGGGAATACCGTACGCGCAGCCCCCTGTGGGGGATCTGAGGTTTAAGGTCAAAGTCAAAAGCACGATACTTACTGCTCAGTTTATAAATACAAACTTTAAAAAAAATTGTTTGTACTTGAGGGCTTGTCAATTATATCATACAATATTTGCAAATAATTTTGTATACAGATATGAGTATATAAGTCATATATTTATGTATCACTTATCAATCGTAGAGAAATCATACTAATGATAATTAACAGAGATATAAAATTTCATAACTTTAAGAAACCTTTAAATAGAATACATGTAACTAATCCTCTTCGATCAAACAACTTCAACAAGTAATGATATTAGATAACCGAACTGTGTTATTTTATTTATTTATAGGCACCACTACCTCCAAAACCATGGGATGGAGTTCGTACTGCCAAACAATTCGGGCCAAAATCTTACCAGAACGACATATTTATGAATGTCGGGAGAGTTGGTGAAGAAGATTGCTTGTACCTAAACGTGTACACCCCCTGTATTAAACCGGACAAGCCTCTACCAGTTATGTTCTACATACATGGTGGTGGTTTCTTCAGTGGCAGTGGCAACGATGACCTTTACGGTCCAGAGTTCCTTGTCAGGCACGATGTCATCCTTGTTACTATCAACTACAGAGTAGATGTGCTCGGTTTTCTTTGTTTGGACACAGAGGATATTCCTGGTAACGCAGGAATGAAAGATCAGGTACAAGCTCTTAGATGGGTGAACAAAAATATTGCTAGCTTCGGTGGCGACCCCAAAAATATTACCATATTTGGTGAAAGTGCTGGCGGAGCTAGCGTAAGCTACCATTTAATATCACCGATGTCTAAAGGGTTGTTTAAAAGGGCCATTGCTCAGAGTGGGGCGTCTACTTCGCCCTGGGCCCAAGCTGTTGAGCCTCGCGAAAGAGCTTTAGCATTGGCTAGAAGCCTTGGATTTTATTCTGAGAACGATAAAGAATTATATGAATTTTTCAAAAATCAGCCGATGGAATTAATAGTTGGCTTTCCTGTATCGGTAGCAACGTTTGAAGCATTCAAGGGTGGAATAGATATCAATTTCACTGTTGTTAACGAAAAGAAATTCGGGGAAAACGAGAGATTCTTTTACGGAGACATGCTTGATGCAGTGTCAAACGGTGTTCACGAAGGAGTAGAAATAATGACGGGTACTACCACAGAGGAAGGCCTCATTGCTATGGGAGACCTTAAAGATACCAGGAAGGCTTTGGAACTGGCAAGAACATACCCAGAAACCTTTATTAATAAATACGAAGCATATAATTTGCCTTTGAAGCAACAGCTTAAAATTGGGAAAGAAATCAGAAAATTCTACTTCAATGATCAGGTGAATATACCAGATGACTGGGACAAATTGATGAATTTCCTTTCGATGCAGATGTTCGTATACTCTACAATGCAGTGGGTAAAGTATTGCGTTCAAGCGAAGAAGCACAAGCTATATTTATATAAATTTTCTTGTAAATCAGAGAGGAACGTCATGTCTTTTTTGAGAGAACAGACAGAAATGTTGGGAAGCAGACGAGTTACTTGTCATGCTGATGAACTGACGTATCTATTCAACCCTAAAATGATGCCAAAAATGGACACAGCTTCAACAACATTTAAAATGGTGGAAAGAATTTTGACGCTTTGGACAAACTTCGCTAAATATGGGTGAGTTGAGAAATACGTATGTAGGTGCTTTAATATTTTTCTCTAATCTAAACAATTAGCATGCCAGATATGTGACGTTTAGTGATTCATTGTATTTATCTATTGCAATCGGAGGCAAAGTTTATTAAGAAATAATTTCATATAATTAATAATAGTTGGCATAAATCTCTCTATTCTTATTAACTTAACCAACTATGTTAAAGCAACAAAAATAATTACTAAATAATGCTTTGCTTGGTGTACTTGACCACAAGAATAATTACTTTTTAGGAAATAAAAGTATTTTTTTAACACAAAGTAGGATTATACAATTTCAACATGAAAAAATCTTCTGTGATTCAAACTCAACTCAAACTCAAACTCAAAAGCATTTATTTCAATTAAACCATAATTTGGTACTTTTGAAACGTCAACAAATATGAAATATACAATAGTCTGTCAGTCTGTCCGTCAGTGAAGCTAGGCGCTCGTTCCAAAATGTCGAGGATTCACAGGATATATACACAATGTTTTTGATATATAAATACTAATCAATAAGAAAACGATATTTAATACATAACCTACATCATCAGCCTGTATTCGTCCACTGCTGGACATAGGCCTCTCCTATGGCACGCCACTGAGCTCGGTCTTCAGCTCTTCTCATCCAACTACTGCCAGCCACCTTGCAGATGTCGTCACTCCACCTAGCTGGAGGGCGCCCTACACTGCGTTTGCCCAGACGCGGTCTCCACTCTAGAACACGTTTACCCCAACGGTTATCGGTTCTTCGACAAATTTGACCGGCCCACTGCCACTTCAGCTTACTGATCCTTTGGGCTATGTCGATAACTTTGGTTCTCTGTCGGATCACTTCGTTTCGGATTCGATCCTTCAAAGAGACTCCGAGCATAGCCCTCTCCATAGCTCGCTGCGCGACCTTAAATTGGTGGACCAGTCGCACTGTCAGTGTCCACGTCTCGGCTCCGTATGTCATTACTGGAAGGACGCACTCGTTGAAGACTTTTGTCTTCAGGCTTTGCGGTATCTGAGACGAGAAGACTTGATTAAGTTTTCTATATGCTGCCCAGCCAAGCTGTATCCTTCTACGGGCCTCCTTTTCGAAGCTGTTCCTACCAAACTGCAGGGTTTGTCCTAGGTAGATGTATTCCTGAACGACTTCGAGAGGCGACCCGTTGAGAACAATTGGCTCCGGAATGACATGTTCATTGAACATTATTTTTGTTTTGTCCAAATTCATCCGGAGCCCAATGCGCGCGGAAGCATCAGCCAGGCTGCACAGCATATATTGCAAGTCCTGAACGGTTTCAGCCACGATGACGATATCATCTGCAAATCTCAAGTGTGAGAGATACTTGCCGTTTATGTTTATGCCCCGTCCTTTCCAATGCAGTGTCTTGAACATATCCTCCATAGCATTTGTGAACAATTTGGGGGATATAACATCCCCTTGTCTCACTCCTCGATGCAGGTGAATAGGTTCAGACTGCTGATTTTGTACTTGGACGGCCATAGTCGCAGCTTCGTACAGTTCTCTCAGCACTTGGATATATCGCCAGTCGACTTGGCACCGTTGTAAGGACTCCAGAACAGACCAGATCTCGATAGAGTCAAAGGCCTTCTCATAGTCCACGAACGCCAAGCATAGAGGCCGATTATACTCCTCGGTCTTCTGTATAATCTGCCTCATCGTGTAAATGTGGTCCATGGTGCCATATCCTCCTCGGAACCCGGCCTGCTCGGGGGGCTGAAACTCATCAAGCCTTCGTGCGAGACGATTCGTGATGACCCTGGAAAACAGCTTATAGATGTGGCTCAAAAGAGAAATAGGACGATAGTTCTTCAAAAGGGTTTTATCTCCCTTTTTGAAGAACATAACGACAATGCTTCTGCTCCACACCCTAGGAGTTCTCCCCGTGAAGAGGACGGAATTAAATATACTTTGGAGCCGCTCGAGAATCGGTTTTCCCCCTGCCTTAAGGAGCTCCGTCGTAATTCCGTCCTCACCGGGGGCTTTTCCATTTTTAAGCTGCCCCAAAGCCACCCCGATTTCGTCTTGGCTGACCTCTGGCAGCTCTTCAGTGAAGTGGCGGACAAGTGTGGCCCTGGGATCCCCCGAGTATGATTGAGGTTGGGGTGCTTGTGACGCATATAGATCACCGTAGAAGCGCTGAACCTCCGCAAGAATCTCCGGCCCAGAAGCGACGACTTTTCCCTCAGATGTAGTCAGCTTCGTCAGATGGCTTCGACCTAGTTGCTGGATGAAAACTTTTGACCCCCGATTTCGCTCGATCGCTTCTTTTATAGCGCGTGTGTTGGAGCACCGAAGGTCACGTCTTACCTGCTTCGAGATCTTTCTATTAAGATCCGACGAAGCGACTGCTGGGTTTTCACGGCGCCTCTTCATCAGCTGCAGAGACTCACCCGAAAGCCCCGCCCTCCTGCCGGTATTTTGCGCCCGCCACATTTTCGTCCCCTCATCTCGGAGTATCCCGACCATTTGGTCGAGTTTTTGGTCAATATCAGCGTCTATTGTGGTTTCCAAGACAGCGAATCGATTTTCCAGTTACTAGATCGATTTTACAGTTCCAGTAATCGATTTTACATAACCTACACTTCACCTTAAAACTTTATCATTGCATTTACATAATTCAATGATTAAAATAGTTGTCAATATGTCATGACTGGTCTTTTTCACAGAAACCCAACGCCAGACGATTCTCTGGGAGTTAAGTGGGCACCGTACACCCTGGAAAACCAAGAATATCTGGACATTGGAAACGAGCTGAAAGCGGGCACCGCGCCTGATGCTGAGGAAACACAATTCTGGGATAAATTGTATGAAAAATATGGACTGTGATTAAAGCCACGATGGGACCTTTTTAAATGCAATGTATTAATATAACTGTTGATTTTATATTTAGGTGAAGAGTTTATTGTTATTATGTTTTAAATCAACGACCACACAGTTTTAATCATTGTATTTATGGGAATGGTCATTTTATAGACTTTGGGGGTCACATTATAAAACTTATTATATTTAAAAAATTTCTTGACTTTTATTTATATTTCTACAAAAAAATATTGTCAGCATGAACACTGTTAGTATTTAACGGGAAATGCATATTCTTGCTGTTTTATAAATTAAACTGTCAAACACCAAGCGGTCACCGGTGACCGCAACCTATTGTTCTATAATTGTGTCTACAAAACCGGTACTCGACGAGTTAAAGTACCTATGACTCGACTGTTTACTAAGTAGTTCACATTTTTAAGCATCGGCTGTCAGTTAAAAATATAAAATCTTTAGATTCACCTGGAAGTCAGAACTCTTAAAATTATTTAGCGAATATAGGTATTAGGCTATTAGGTATATTTCTTCAAGAAGATAATATCGTAAATTGTAATGTTCTACTTAAAATAATTTTAGTTTATGGCAAAATCATCATCTTATACGTTGAAAAATGAATTATCTTAACATACATACATTGCGTTAATTAATCTCATAAAACCTTCGATTTCAATGTGTTATATAGGAATTTAAATGACACCGAAACATATAACCTGCTTATTAGCCAGCCAAAATACTAATACGCTAAAGATTTGTATACATAACATAACATCACGCCTTTTTATCCTCGAGGGGGTAGGCAGAGGTGCACATTCCGGCACTTAATGCCACTGTACAATG